CTGGTGATTCTGTTTTTAAGGCAGATTCATCTTAGTTTCTGTGTCTGTGTTTAAAACTGTTAACACTGTTTGTTTAACGTGATTATACCTTAGTGATAACACTGATTTGAAATAGTTGTTTATTTCTAGGAATAATTATATTATCTAACTTATGTTCGTGTTTTTATTTGGATCATGGTTATACTTTTAATTTGATTTTACTTAGTCAACCTATAGTCTAAATTAAAGAGCTGTGTTCTAGCTTTATTTATGTTAATCAGTCTGCTCTCTGGCCTGATTTGATTACTTGTAATTTATCAAATGTGAACTTGTAAAATTATCTTTAGCTACTATGAGATTATATTTAAAGGTCAACTAGTTAGAATTAGCAAACATTTTCTATAAACATAGTTCAACCTTGGAAGAAAGACACACACACACACTTTATATGACATGACATTTGAGTGCTTGATAGGAATTATAAAAAGGTATAAAATATTAAATCCAACATTGGTCAGAGCGAATCCCGCCCGGGGTGTCTTTCTGGGTGGAGTTTGCCTGTTCTCTCCGTGCATGTGTGGGTTTTCTCCAGGTACTCTGGTTTCCTCCCACAAACGAAAAAAACATGCATGTTAGGCTGATTGGTAACTAAATTGACCTTAGATGTGGGTGAGAGAATGAATGGTTGTTTATCTCGTTTCTCTTTATGTGTCCCTGTGATGTACTGGAGACCTGTCCAGGGTGTCCCCCGTCTCTCACACAGTGACTGCTGGGTATGGGCGCCAGTGACCCCCCGTGAACTGAAAATAAGGAAGTGGTTAAAAGATAATTGATGGAAAGAGGGGTGGAATTTACTGTGACATGTTTTAGATGTTTTAGATGAGCGACTTTCAACGAGCGAGTGGACACAAATATCTCTCAGGGCAGCAGACATATGAAGCAGCCATGCATACTCAGTCCTCTGCAGTAAATGTTCCAGATGTGCTTCCGAATACACACACCAGTTCATAGTTGATCTTTATCAGTGGGAGGGAGTGTTAAGTGGAAAATGTTCATTAAAAAGTTTGGAACAAAGGCTGCAGTCATTTGCATCCTCTGACGTTCATCTCAGTGCTTATCAAAGACAGTAATTAAATGTTAGCCAACAAGGATTATTTGTTTTTTACAATAGGAAATGTCAACACTTGGCTTCATCAGCAGTGGACTTTTACCTTTTCAAACTCAGCTTAACTTCCTGGTAGGTAGAGAGTCATTCGCTTTTTCACTCTCTACATGTAACAGTTCTGAGGTGCTTGCTGGTAAGACAGCTATCTTTCCATCGTCTTCCCGTTAAATCTCACTAAGGTAAGCTGTTCATTTAATACCAAAACAGATTTTTACAAAAAAAAAACAATTCTGTGTGAACCTTTATCTCATTTGTCCACGGCATTATGTTGTTTTCTCTCTACCTGAACTGTCTGAATGTGTTTGCTCCAGCTTGTGGCAGAAACTAAACCTCCTGAATGAATTAATGATGAACAAGTGAGGGCATAGAAAAAGATTAAATTACACTCGCTTCTCTCCAATAATTTAGCTGTCACTCTAAAATCACTTGGCTTAAAGGAGTGATGCAGCTTGTTTAGGCTGGACGCTCAATGAGGGCAAATCAGTAGCGAAGGCTAAATACTTGCAAGGAAAACATTAAACGTGTCACATTTTTGTTCATTCAATAGACTTTATTTTTCTGTTACTCCTAAGGGAAAGAAAAGGATCAGTTTTGAAGGATCTCATGACAAGTTACAGTACAAGTGGAGTTTTTAACCCAGCCTACCATGACACGGAAACACTGGAAATTGATAAAAGGTATCTATAACCATTTTATCTTTACATGTATTACAATTAGACATTTTCCCCCGTAAGCGTATGTGCTGTACTGTATAGGAATGTTGAGCAGTAAATATCCAAGATTGTAATAGTTTTAATTCATTTTGAGTTTGGACCTATTTCTGTGCAAATGTTTTGAACATGAATTAATAACCATAGTTTTTGTTTGTTTGTTTTGTTTTTGAACCTGTCCAGAGGACCCGACTTGACATTTTTAGATTTTTCTCCCTAGATTATTGAGATGCATCTGGATACTACAACCATAATATTTCACGTCTTTTTTTGTGGTTGTGTTAAACGCAACAAAACATTGCACTTGCTAATAAAAAGCCCCTGAAAGAAAATATGGTTAAAAATAACAAAAGTCAAACATTTAAAGTTAATTATTTATGTTTAATTAAACAAAAGGGGGAGTGGTGGCGCAGAGGTTAGAGAAGGTGGGCCTGTGATCGGAAGATCAACGGTTTATCTCCCGGTACCGACAACATCAAAATGTGGATGAGGTGAAGCACCCACAACTGCCTCCTTAAAGTTTTAGATTTAGATAGTTTTATATTAAGGAATGAAAAACTTGCAGCCGTTTCGGCCAAACCTTAAAGACAACACAACGCTTCACCTGGTGCATCATTTCAAGAGGTTTTAGAGTAAGAGACAAACAATCACGAGCAACAGCATCACTGTCCGCCTTCGTCTTTTGGCAGTGGGTGATAAAGATGTATTCACAAGTTTTCTAAACTGTTTTTAATAAATCTACTATTATGTGGTTAAAAAACATTTTGGTACCACTTTACAATAAGGCTCTCCAGCTCCCCTTATAGATGGCTAATAAATAGTTTATAGATACGTTATTAATTCCTTTATAACCACTTTATAAACCAGTAATACGTAACTGCTTATTATGCAATAATTAAGGGTGACAGAGACAAAACTGACCAGTTTCTTGCCAAATCTGTTCACCTATTTCATCCAGAGTTGTTATATTAAACATTTCAGACTAAGTTACTACCTTGTAAGCACAATAAGCATTTGTAAACCTATTTTTTTTAGCACATTGTACTTTATCACTGCATTATAAGTATGTACAACTAATATTAAATCCTTAAAAAAATAGGTTTACAAATGCTTATTGTGCTTACAAGGCAGTCTGAAAAGTTTAATATAACAACTCTAGATGAAATATATAGGTGAACAGATTTGGCAAGAAACTGGTCAGTTTTATCTCTCTGTAACACTTAATTAATGCATAATAAACAATTATTAATGATTTTTAAAGTGCTTATAGAGGACTTAATAACATATCTATAAACTATTTATTAGCCATCTATAAGGGGAGCCTTATCGTAAAGTGGTACCAATGTTTTTGACTGGAATATTTTATGATTTTTCTGAGTAGCCATCGTTATAATCAGAACTTTAAATTCCAGTTTGTTTCCTGAACTGATAACTTTCTGCTCATAAGTATCATAAACACAAACTATACAACCTGAGTAAGAGCTTGTTCTTCCTTTTAACATAACATTTCTTCTTTGTGGCATTTAGGGCTTCCAGGAAACCCCACCATACGAACCCGTATGCGAGTGAAGACATGGCATGGCGGGGTGACAGGGTTGACCTAAGAAGTGATGCTGAGCACGGAGCACACAGGAGTGGCTGGCAGGAGGAGAGCTGGAGGGGGGGCGAAGGCATCCCGATGGGCCAAATCAGCAGTGATTCAAACAGTGCTTCATGGCAGCAAAACCTCAGTGAGTGATGAGTGACAAGGATTTTTTTAGGCTCATTATCTTTCGACACACAAAGCTTTAAAAATAATTTAAGATTTTTGTGTGTGTGTGAAAAATTAGCATCAAAGAATCTTCAAGCGTGGAAATCAAAATTCATAGTATGAGCCAAAATAATATATTTTTTCCACAGTTATTGTTTTATTTACTGTCATAAATTCAACAATGTGTCATTCACTTTCCACTACTACTTCTTTGTTTTGAAGGCATAAATATTACAGTATGCGTTATAGATGCCATACACACACACATACACAAACAAATGTTTTTGGCAATGTCAGCACATTTTTAGTTGTGTACATAATACACATTACACAATATAGCACAGTATGCACCAGTAATGTACTAGATATCTACCAAGTGCATACCTTGTACTTACTGGGTATGCACTGATAACTCACTTGTTGGGTACCATGTAATTGCCATGAAAGTACACGGTAATAAGTCACTTCACAATGCATCCTAGTCCTCGTAGATACCACGTAAATACAAGGTAAGTACCTAGTAAGTACAGGGTAACAAATCCCTTGATGATCCTGCCCAGTTGTTGTAAGTATCCAGTACGTACTTGGTGAGTACCAGGAAAGTAATAGGTACATATATAGGTTTCCTGTATGCACCGGGCTGTGTTATGCATTGCAGTTTGTTTTTTTTCCTAAAAAAAAAATTATGCATGTCCTAGGATTATAATTATTGACTGAATGACACATTTCCATTTTGTAAAACGGTATACACTTTATTCTATAATAAGAAAATGCATGGCTTGTTGGCTTCTTGCCAAGTGGAGTTGCGTCTATGTTGCTAAGTGATCATTTTGTTGATCATACCTCTCCATCTCCTCACTTTTCGAAACATCTCAGATCACGGCTCGTTTCAAACTGACGGTGATTCTCGCTATGACTCACTATCAGCAGCTGTTCAACCTCTGCCTTCAATGTCAGGTAAGTGTTGAACCGCTTCACTCTTTTTACCTTGTTTATTTTTAGGAGGGGCTTTAGCTTGTTGATTGTTGTGGAGTCAGCAAGTAAAACTCTACAGTAAATCACAAAAGACAGACGTGGGTTATAAATCAACTAAGAAAGTCACATTAGATAATCATTAATGGATAGGTTCAGACAAGAACAACAAGAACAAGGAAACTGAGAGAGAAATATAAGTTTGAGCTTTTACTGGTGGGTATACATGAAGCTAAAGCTTGTGGTCATACAGCATTTTGTTGTCAGACATTTGGATGCCACATTTATTAAGCTGTATTACAAATTCTTACAATTAGGGATACTTTTTATTTATTTATTTATTAGTGGTGTATCTTTCTTTTCTTTAGAACATTTCTTTTAGAAGCTTTAAATTATGTTTAATATGAATTTTAGAGGGCAGCACGGTGGCGCAACTGGTAGAGCTGCTGCCTCTCAGCTAGCAGGTCCCTGGTTCAAATCCCGGTCCGGGGGCCTTTCTGGGTGGAGTTTGCATGTTCTCTCCGTGCATGCGTGGGTTTTCTCCGGGTACTCCGGTTTCCTCCACAGACCAAAAACATGCATGTTAGGCTGATTGGTAACTCTAAATTGTCCCTAGGTGTGAGTGAGAGAGTGAATGGTTGTTTGTCTCGTTTGTCTCTGTGTGGCCCTGTGATGGACTTGCGACCCGTCCAGGGTGTACCCCGCCCCTCGCACAGTGATTGCTGGACATGGGCACCAGTGACCCCCGTGACCCAAAATGGAATAAACGGGTAAAGAAAATGGATGGATGGATGAATTTTAGATGATTGTTCACAGAGATTGAATTTAAATTTCTAAATAACTTTTTTATTTTAGTAATTTATTTACTTAGTTGACAATGCATCAGAGTTTATCTGGCGCCCTTTGTAAGCTGTAATAAAGCAGCTAAACGTACCATTTAATGCACGACCATGCATGCAGCATGTTTGATAAATCCGGTAAAAAAATTACAATAAAGAATGCAGTAAATCTTTTTACATTTGTTAGGAAATTTGTTTAATAGATAATAAATACAAATTTTACAGCTCTATCCCATGCTGCTTGTTCATGCCAAAGTTTTAATTTAAGATCCCATTATGGTGAGTAAAAAAGTATATACCGCTAGTTGTTTGGGACAAATCTTAAAAATAATGTTGAGCATGTTCTCATATAATTGTTTATTTTTATTTATTTATTTATTTTTACAACAATTAAAGTATAAACCCTGCAGCTGGGCCTCAGCTGAAACCACACTTAAACTTAACATAAGTAAAATGTACTAAGTTATAACCACTTTTGTATTTTCAAAGGTCAGATAGCTGTGGTGGCATGCTGGGCTGGGTTAACTCTAAACGTTAATCAATCAAATCAATTTATCCAATGATTACTTGTTGCAAATTTCATTCAAATTGGTCTCGTTGTTCATGAGATCATTTGCTAAACAGACATAGTTGACTTTAACAACTGTCAGTAAAGTTTAAAACAAAGATCTCATGCAATTTGTTAGCCCTCAGAATATGTGTTGGGTATAATAATCAGCTACCACAACAGCAAATTTTAGCTTAATTTCTGTCATACTGGTTGAGTTACAGTCATTTTGCATTTGCAAAGGTTGCTGGTGGCCATCTTTAATCAGGCTGACACCAAAATATATGTATATTTGTAGCTATACACTCAATGATAATGTTTTGAGAATTTCAACAAAAGTTGTTTTGTAGTTCATACAACATTTTTCTATCTGACAGATATAAGTGCAGACAAGCTTGCACACACACACACAGAAAAAAACAACAATACAATAACCAGCCTCTTTTGTCTTGTGGCTATTGGACAAGTCGAAAAACAAGCATAAAGCTAGCATCCAGCTAAAAATAATTTTAGGTTGTCCTATTTTGTGATTTCACCACATTATTGATACACATGACACAGTAATCTGCAGCTGTATCTGCACAGTGATATTCCCAGCTTCAGTAATACATGAAGATGAAATGATAATAAGTGTTATGTAGCTGTGTAATTTTTCTTATGCACAGTTTGAAAAAGTTAAAATGGCCAGGCCCCACACTGAAAAGTGTTGAGTTACAACAATGCATTCCTAAATCGCTTAGCTAAATCTTGGTAGTTTTATCTCAGCTTGGTTTGATAATTAGTTTAAGCAAGCATCTTAAGTTAAGTTATACCCCAAAACTGGGTTAAACTGATTAATTTGTGGAATTACAACCACTAATAAGAACAACCCAAAATCTGGGTGATTTAATAATTATAACTTGGGTTTGTGCTAGCTAGCTGATGTTAGCTTGTATTAGTATCAACCAACTACAGCATCAACTAGGAAACCAAATTCACAGTCTAGTACAAACTCAAGGTATTAACAATGCCAAACAGGTTGACCATCCTTTTGGAAGTACATTTTACTGTTTTACATTTTACTTCTTAAAGCAGAGGTCCAATTGAATTCAGTTTTGTCAACTTCTGGCTTAACCTTCTGGATGGTTAAAAATGATAGTGGTTCAAATCTTTTGATCCATGATTTGGTCAAACCAACCCAATCTAAGACCCAACAGATTTAAAACAGCTGCTACTACTGCTTTACCGGGAATATTGAGCACGTTTGATGTTTTGAACCACTTTGGCCATAGCTGCCTCAGACGAGTCGAAGGGGGAGAGGGCAGACTCCAGAAGCCATCTTATCACCAGCAAACTGGTTGGCTCACTATGTGAGTGTGCTACTTATGAGACTGTTTGTTGTGGCTCCTCGGACTGATGAAGTCTTTTGGATGAAAGATGAAACGTTTCAACAAAAAAGAAACCGTCCAGAGGACCTGACTTAACTTTGTTGGATACCACTGTGTGTTTATTCAGGCAACATGACAATGAGATGGAGAGGAATTGCAATGAGAAGGATGAGCATGTTTCCCAACACTGATCCAGCCTGCACTACTTTCACAGAGGAGGTTATAAGGAGGGAGGTGGAAAACGGTAATGACCCATCACTGGTGTTTGATTGCATTCAAGAAAAGTGACATCTGATGTCCATATGGACTGGTGACTCTTGAGAGGTTAAAAGACTACTTTTCTTGTCCTTTCATCACTGACAGAGGAACAAAACCTCGTCAAGGAACTCATTGCTCTGTCAACTCGAGAACAAATACGTCAGATTCGGGAGCTTCCAATGAGTTTTGAAGAGAAGAAACATATATGGTGGGTTGAAAGATTTCATCCCAGCTTAATAACACTTGGCTGTGCTCAGTGTAAGTTGAATGTTATGGTCTAAGAAGTAAAAAAGGCAGTCAATCTAAGTTATTTACCTCGTGTGTGGTGGGGTTAATGCTGTGGCTCATTTGTGTGAGAGAGCATATCCAGTATATGTACAGAATCAGAATCAGCTTTATTGTTATTGCCCCGAAGCACAACAAAATTACATTTCAGCACAGCCCGTTGGAGAAAACATAAACAACAGACATGGGGAGATGGAGATGACTGAGACCGTGGCCTCGAGAGGCACTGCTCTTTTCGTTTAGATAAGGAAAAGAGAAACACGAGGAGAAGTATAAAAAATTCATATCTCGCACTGTGTCCTAGACGGGACACAGTGTGAAAGTTGCAAAAAAAGACCCCAGTACAGAAAAAGCTACATACTGATGACATCATAATACATTTATGCATGAAAAGGCCGTTGAATGCGATGAATTGGCCGTGGCCACTGCCTGATAGTTCCATAGTCCTGATAAGAAATGGTGCATTGTCTATCACTCGGCTCAGCTCTGATACAGGTCCACAGATGTCCTCGGGAAGGGAGCAGGTAGGGGATGGGGGCAGCAGAGCTTCTTGTTCACATAAACATCCAGGAGCGTTTGAGATAGTTGGCTAATTCAAGGCCAAGCGGCGGAGTCATGATAAAAATTATTTTGGGTCAGGCAGACTCTGCTTGATTTCTGTCTGCCTTCATAATTCTACTGGTACATCTCAATGGTGACTCCAAACAGCCAAATTTTGTAGTCAACATCACCGGGCCGAGCTTGTAGCTTTTCCAAGGTTGATTCCTTCCCTACAGCAAGTTTCAGGAGCCGCAAGTGGTCATTTCATTTGATAATTTTGCACGACTTTCCAGTGCGATTCTCAGAAATCACGTCCAGTTTATGGCTCATCTTATACAGTAACTGAGTCTGAGTGCTTACCACTTGGCACATTCCTTCACACAAGCCAGGCAGCCTTACAATGGCCAGAACAGCGGCCAACGTTTTCTGCATTTGTTGATATGCCAGGTAGCCGCCAACTCCAAAAAGCAGAAATCCTGTTATCATAAATCCAATTACGGTATGTGCACATCTTCTACATCCTCAATAGACAATACTGCCCCCAAGAATCCATTGTGTATCCAGCTGCAAGTGTCCCATCAGGACAAGAGGGCTCTCCTTCGCCCTGTCTTCTCGTCGAGAAAAAAATGATCAATTGCGTTAAGAGACCAGCTGACCAGATCCATAATTTACAATTTTGAAGATATGAAAAGAGAGGCTCTGACAGGGTTCACAGGACAAAGAATAAGCAGGAGGGAAGCAAGTGAGGGAGGGAAAACGTCCGCCGTCTTCGAGAGCAAGCAGGAAAGGGAAACCAGCAGGAAACATAAGTGCACACATAGCTTTCATATTTCTTTAAAAAATGTTTATAAGAATTTTGTATTAATTTAAACATTAGATTGTTATTTTGTGGAATTTATTAAATACTCCTCTTCCATTGTATCTTATTTTCACAGGCGACAATTAACAGCGTTCAAGTCTTCTAAACAATCTCACCACTTGAGACGTTTCACAGATTGCTCCAAAAATATTTCACTGGTGAGCGCTCGCAGCAACACTTGACAAGTCAAAACCAGCGAATGTATGATGAGGCTATGCGTTCCTGTTCTTTCAGTCTTTTCGAAGGTGTGCTTACGGTATACAGTCAGCCAGGCAGACTCTGGAACTGTGGCACGGCATCATGAAAGAGATTGGAGGCAAATTTGGCTCCAGTGTTCTCACCTATTTTGTGTTCCTCAAGTGGCTTCTGATGTTCAACGTTTTCTCTTTCTTGGTCAACTTTGGTTTTATCACCATTCCACTGCTTGTTCATGACCTTTCACCCAACATACCTTCAAACGTGAGCTTCAGAGGGCTGGAGTTACTGACCGGAGCCGTAAGTGGACAAAAGCTCATGAGATTTCTGTACATCTCTACAGAGCTGCATCAAAAATAGTTCTGTTTTCCATCATAGTTTAATGTAAAGCATTTTTAATTGTCAATAAATTAAAAGTGGAATGTATATCTCAGTCAGTGTTGCAGTAAACGAAAAATAATTTATAAAGAGTGAATAAAAAATTTAATTTGGTATGCTCCCACAAAATGGTCCTCTATCTGCTGTTTTTTTTGTAACATTAATACCATTAGGGCTTTATAAGAGCTTTATTAAAACCTCAAAAAAATAAAATAAAGTCTTACTGAGACTGTTGTTAACATATTTGTTGTTTTTTAGGGTTACTTCAACTATACTGTTATGTACTATGGTGGCTACAGTAATGAAACTCTAAGGGGTCTGGTGGATTACAATCTGCAGCTGGCCTATTTCTTCACCATTGCTGTCTACATGGTGCTGTGTGGGATTGTGCTCATTTTTAGGTTGTTCATTTCATTCAGTACTTTTGCACGACTTTCCAGATTTCTTTGTTGTGTGCCGTAGTTCTTTTTTTTAATTGACGTTCATTTTTATCCTCTTGCAGCATGGCAAGCTCATTCAAGAAGAACTATGCACCAGCAGACCCAGCTTCGAACAGTGCATGGCAGCTTCTGTGCAGCTGGAATTTTAGTATAACCAACGAACGAGCAGTCAGACTGTGCAAGAGCAATCTTCGTGTCCAACTCAAGGTGACTGTTTCTGTCATTCAAACCTATCTTTGGCATGTAATAAATAAAATCTCATTTTTGACAATGTTGTTATGTTATATAAACTATGAATAAAAGCAGAATACTTACCATATACTGTATTTGCTAATTTCATAAAACCCTTATTTTATTCACAATAGAACACAAAAATCATTTAAACTTTTTTAAATAAAGATTTGTACCATTTGGGGGCAAAAAATAAAGTAATTTTGAATTTGATGGCAACAATACGTTAAACAGCAGCCTGAACATGAGTCTGTTGTGAGCAGATGGATATGAATACAGCAGCTTAAAGGCAAGAAATCAGCAGCATGGATAAAGTGTCAAATCACCAATTAAGTTATGTAAATTTTATTCAACCCAGCTGACAGAGTTGGGGTAGTAAATTTGCATTTAAAGGCTTTTTTTTAATTTAAAAATAATTAGCTATATTAATAAAATTCTGATTTTAATTTCAGTCATATGTCCATAGAATGTTTGTCCTCTTGTTACTTTTTCAGGAATCTTTATCAGAAAAATACCAGACAAAGCAGCTAACACTTTCTGAAAAATTGGAACACTATGGGATTTACTTTGGTTGCTGGTTTCTCTCCACCAGTCTGGCTTTTGGCTGTGGAGCCAGCATCTTCTACCTCTGCCAGTACGAGCAAAAGGTACAAGACAAGTTTATTTAAACTCTGACAATGTTGAATTGAACCACTTTATTCACATAAAGTATGGAAGCAAGTAAGAACAAAGTATCTAAGTACTAATTCTTTTTGCTGGTAAAACCAGTCACATTTTACAGTAAAGGCATGTACAGTTGAAGGTTACGAGAAACTGCACATAATACTTTATGGCATGCTAAATTATTTGTTTTGTTTTTGTTAGCGTGCGTCATAAACTCACTGAAAGTAATGTGTCCTGACATTTTCAAGAAGGTCAGAGTTGGTACGTAGACATTGTCATTATCTTGGTTTGTGTCTTTACAGCAGGCAGTAGACTCTGGACCCTGGTCTCTGCTTAATGAGGCAAAGACACTCCTGGTTCCGTTTGTGGTGTCATTGATGAACATGGTCATTCCGCTCTTCTTCTCTCTCTTCAATAAATATGAGCAGTACTCCAACCCTCGCAGCCAGATTTATGCCCTGTTGCTTAGGTGAGATGACAGGGATTCATGTGAATATCTGATATGCAGTTAGTAGAGCTGCCACCTCTCTCACTGAGGTCATTGGATTGAATCTCGGCCCAGGGGTGGGGGTGAGGGGGCATTCTCTATGCATCATCCATTGGTTTTCTCTGGGTACTCCAGTTTCCTCCCACAGACCAAAAACATGCATGTTAGACTGATTGGTAACTCTAATTTGTCCCTAGGTGTGAGTGAGAGAGTGAATGGTTGTTTGTCTCGTTTGTCTCTATGTGGCCCTGTGATGGACTTGCGACCTGTCCAGGGTGTACCCCGCCCCTCGCACAGTGACTGCTGGACATGGGCACCAGCGACCCCCCTGACCCAAAATGGAATAAACGGGTAAAGAAAATGGATGGATGAATGTCATGTAGCTAAAAATAATCGTATTGGCCCTATCTTTCTTGTCTGAATTGTAGACTAAAATCGTGAGTTGATACTTAAGATGAAAACATTCTGATCAAACCTTAAACATAATGTCTAGGTTCAGATTGTATTGTGAATGACTTTCCCCTACTAGCACATTAAATTTTAGCTTGACATCTGTAAAACTGACTGAATTATAGCCATTTTGGTGTTGGCTAAAGTCTGTTAGCTGTAGCGGCCATCGTGATTTGATCTGACTCTGAAGGGTAACCAGATGACATGCAAAAACAGGAACAAACTCTCAGGGATTGTTAGAATGTGCAGCAAAACTCCTGGCATAGCCCTATAGAGCCTCAGTGACCTACAAAAGGCGAAGTCAGTGAACAAGGCCAGGCTGATTCTGGCAGATCCTGTTCATCCACTCCATGGTGAGTCCAGGTTGCTTCCATCTGTACGCAGATATCTGCTGCACAGATGTAGGATGAACAGACTGAAACACTCATTCATCCCTGTAGTGATCAGGCTTCTCAAATAATGAGGATGATCTCTGTACTGTTTTAATGTCTCATTGTCTTGTCTAGTATAGATGTTTTATGCTTACTGGCTGTGAAACAAATTGCTCTTGGGGATAATAAAGATTCTTGAACTTGAGGTAGATGTTAATCTGTTGATTATAAACAGGGTTAACCACAACTGGTGATAATAAAGTTTTTAAAAAAAAGATTGTATCCAGTGTGTAGCCCTCTGAATATGTGTGGTGAATGACCCTCAGCTCCAGTCACACCATATTTCAGCACAATATCTGTAAAACTGACTGAATTATAGCCTTCTGGGATTTTCTAATGTCAGATGGCTTGTTCGGTTATCGACTTTGGTATAAGGTTCTCCAGTTTTCAAGGTACATCCAATGATTGCTTTCCAAAAGTTTCTTTAAAACTGTCCAATGGTTCATGAAATATTTTGGTAACAGACTGTCAGAGTTGATTCCAAATAGGTGATGGCAAAGTTTTAAACAAAGAGCACATGTAATTTGCTAAATTCAGAACATATGTTCGAGATCAGTCTCAGCAGCCACCAAACCAAATCTTAGTTCACTCAGACTGACTGACATACTGTACATACATGTGGTCTAATAGTTATCTGTGGCAGCCATCTTGAGTCAGGTTGACTCCATAAGTTAATCAGTTATAGATGCACACACAATGTTTACTTTCTGTTAATTTCATTCAAACGTGTTCAGTGGTTCATGAGATATTTTAGTTACAGCCATGTTTTTTGTTTCTCCAACAACAGAAATGTGTTGCTCAGGATTTCCATCCTGGGTGTTTTATGTTACTACTGGATGAATGTGGTACCTGGGAAATTTTCGGTACGTTTTTGAAAACAACCTTTAATGTCTTGTCATATAGACCACGAGGTATGAGTTAACTCCTAACTTGTTTTTGCTCTCAGTGTTGGGAGTCCATGGTGGGACAGGCTTTGTACCGCCTGGTCGTTTTTGATTTCCTTTTTCTGATGTTGGGATCATTCTTTGGAGAATTTCTTAGCAAGTGAGTTCAGCTGTTCCAATTAAAATACAATAAAAATGCACATTTACCGAAATATGAAAAGATTTGTTAATCTGACTTTGCATTTCTTTCAAAACAGTATCATTGGGACTAAACTTCAACCACGTCTTGGGGTGCCGGAGTTTGATGTAGCCAAAAATGTTCTTGATCTCATCTATGCTCAGACTCTAGCCTGGTAAAAACACATTTGACACTTATTATGGAATGTAAAAGTATCTGAGGCGACCTCTAAACACATGTAAAACTACAGATTTACATTTTAAAGATATATTTTGACATATTTTTCCTTTTCCCGACAGGATTGGAATCTACTTTTCTCCTCTGCTGCCTGCGATCCAGATTGTAAAATTCTTCATCTTGTTTTACTTAAAAAAGGTAACTGTCTGATCTGAACCTTAACAGTCATGTAGACATGATTGTTAAATCATGTTTCTTCCATCTGAGGCGGCTGTCTAAACTGAAGCCCATATTGTCCAAAAATAACCTGGAGACAGTAATACATGCATTCATTACATCTAGGCTTGATTACTGCAATTCACTCCTGTTTGGTATCAGTCAAACCTCCATTGCACGACTACAACTGGTCCAGAATGCAGCAGCCCAATTTTTAACCAGTACAGGCAAAAGAGAGCACATTATACTAGTTTTGGCCTCACTGCACTGGCTACCGGTTCACCTTCAAATTCAATTCAAAATACTCCTGTATGTCTACAAATCGCTGAACAGTTTCGCCACCCCCCCCCCCCCCTCACTCTGATTTGCTACAGCCGTATGTCCCACCACGTTCCCTGAGGTCAGCGGACCAGTTGCTCCAGACAGTTCCAGGAACTTGTCTTAAGCGCAGAGGTGACAGGGCCTTCTCTGTAGCAGGACCAAGACTTTGGAACGAGTTACCTGTGCTTGTCAGACAGGCCCCCTCCCTCTCGGTTTTCAAATCCCGTTTAAAAACTCACTATTATTCAGTAGCTTTCAACACCAGATGATCTGTGTTTTGAACCTGTACGCTTCACACTGGTTAGTCGTCATATTTATCATCTGCATCGTTTTTATGTCTTTATTCTGATTTACTTCATTTTGTATATTGCTTTTGTGTTGTCTGTTGTTCTGTCTGTACAGCACTTTGGTTGGCCTTGTCGCTGTTTTAAGTGCTTTATAAATAAAATGGTATGGTATGGAACCTTTGAGGCAAACCTTGATGACCTTCTGCTTTAATAAAGCCAGATACAATGCCACTACTGTTAGAGCTACCCCATATCTTCTTTAGGGCTCATGTTTCTCTAATTGTTCACTAAAGTCAATAATTAATTCAAAGCCTTTCATTACATAGACAAAATGCTTTATTTTACCTGTTCTGGAAAGGTCAGCTGAGTTCTTATGAAGTTAATCAATCGGAGGAAATTGTATTAACTCTGTCGGTCTTAGAAAATTAGATGACTTCTCCTTGTATGATTTGCAATTTGATCCAGCATGGTTGCTTTGTGGACATGCTGAGAGCCTTTAAAGCCTCTCTGTTCAAACCTGTCACATTTTCCATTGTAGTCTGAAATAAATGTGATGTTTTCTCAGCCGTAATGACGTTTAGCCCAAAAGAAAAATGGCGTCTGCATGTGTGCATATAGGATTAATCATGTTTATTTTTGCCAACCTCTTCTCTCCTCACAGGTCAGCCTGACCCAGAACTGCCAGCCTCCGCGGCAGTCAAGCAGAGCAGCTCAGATGCAAACCATCTTCATCGTTCTCCTCTTCTTCCCTTTCTTTGTGGGAGCCCTGTCGATGGTCGCGTATGCGTGGAAGTAAGAGAGCTTTAATGTGAGCTGCTTAGAGACAGCAAAAATAAGACTTTCCGGTAACACTTTACAATAAGATACACAAAATTTGATTAGCTACTAGGGAACACCTCAGGAACAAATCAGGAACAAATCAGGAGCTAATGGGTAGTTAACCAGTACTTACTGGGGAACACACAGCCAAGCCTTATTAAGGGACTACTGGTTAGTTACTTTGTAAATGAAGAGGAACTAATAAAGAACTAATGGGTAGTTACAAGGAAACCAAAAAGGAACGAATCAGGAGCTAATGGGTAGTTAACCAATACTTACTGGGGAACACACAGACAAGCTTTATTGAGGGACTACTGGTTTGTTATCACAGGAACAAACTGGTAATGGTCAGACAATGATTAAGTATTGATTGGTTCCTCAGTAAGTACTCGGTATGATGCTTCACTACACCAGTGAACAAAATAATAGCCAGGTAATGATTTGGTACTCAGTAAGTGATAGTCAGACATAGTTACGTTGACAGCAGTACAAGATTACGAAATTGATAATGTATTTCATCAACAGGTTTACAAAAGAGAAAATCCAATAAAACCAGTAATCACTAGGAAACAGGTTTTTGACGATTACGAGTGACCTCACTGGTGCAGGGTTTGTTCAGAACTCACATGGGGAATTTCCCCTCTGTTTCTGTGGTAACAAACCAGTAGTCCCCTAATAAGGCTAGGCTGTGTGTTCCCCAGTAAGTACTGGTTAACTACCCATTAAATCCTGATTCGTCACTGAGGCGTTTCCTAGTAGTTAATCAAATTTTGTGCACGTTATTGTAAAGTGTTACCGACTTTTCTTATTTGTGTTCTTGTCCTGCTTCTTAGTCTGACCCCCTCAGAGCAGTGTGGACCTTTCCAAGGACTCAACAAAACCTTCAGCGTGGTGGAAATCTGGATCAGCCATTTAAAACAAATTCATACATCTGACTGGGTTGTGTGGATCTACGAAAACATCATCAGGAGTGAACTCTTCTACTTTCTCCTCACGCTCATCATCATGTATGTGTCTATCACAAGACCTGCATTAGTTGTGCTGTGCTTGAGCCAGCCTTGTACCGTTTATTTGTTTCTTATGGCCACTGCTGAAATGCAAAAGGCAGCCGATAATGTTTTGGGGGTTTATTTCAACTTACAGAAAGTAATTATTGGATGTACATCTGCAGAGTCAACTCAATTCAAGACGGCTGCAACATCTGATAAAATGGCTATAGCTCAGTCCATTTTACAGATATTAACCTGAAATTTAGTGTTATGGTAACTGGGAGTCCTTGACACCTACTTTGAATATAACATCTTGTTTCATTGCATGAGATTGGGCCGAATTTTATTTTTTAGTTTTGACCAAACCAGCCATAACACCATAATTTCTCAACATCTTAGTCCATAACGTTGGTATAAAAGGATTTCCAGGCCTCTAATTTATGAACAGCTTCAATGTGTGATATAGGAGATTTTTCAGATCTTCATATAATCATTGAATTTATTGTCCTGATCCGTTTTATGTCCCTCAGTGTCATCATTTACATCTTTTGGCAACTCATTCAAGGCCGCAAGGAGCTCATCCGTCTGCTCCAACAGCAGATTGTAAACGTGAGTTTGCTCCAAAATACTTCCAGACTGTTTCTCATTAGCACATCCATCACTATTTAATTCTGATTATATTTGTTTCATCGCCAGGAGGGAAAAGACAAGTCCTTCTTGCTAGAGAGACTACAAGATCTCCAGAATTCTCACCCTCAAATCACTGCCAAACCTATAATGCAACAAAAGGTCTGTTTTGAAAATGCATTTCTGATAATTTCCATCAACGTCTCTGACCTTTACTCAAGATTTTGTTTGTCTTCTTCAGCCATCAAGGCGACGCTCAGGTGGCCTCTCCTCGGGAAGTCAGTCCAACTCAAACGCCATGGTTCAGGTTTTACTTGCTCGCCAGCAGCTTGAGGAAGAGGAGCAGAGACAAAACTTTTGTGGAGTTTCTGTTCCCTCTGACATTTCCACATCCAGTGCCACTACACAGGCTTTGTTGGCCCGCCAGAGAGCTGAAAGACAAAATGAAGACTTTTACCAGATGTCTGATGAGCATCCTTCATCGTTCAACCCACTTGACCAGGCCATGGCAGCCAGGCAGAGATCTCAGAACGATGAGCGGGATGACTACTGGAGTACAACTGATTTTAATGAAACAAACCCCGTCAACAGACCGGACGCTGTCACACAGGCCATGGAGGCCAGACTGAGAGCAGAGGATGGAAACGATGATCACCTGGACCTGGCGTCACCGGTGTCAAGTGTTATGATTCAAGTCATGCAAGCCAGGCAGAGAGCCGACGAAGAGGAGAGGAGTCAGTGGACCCCTGCTCCGCTGCAGAACCCAGATCCTTCTGGCTCCAGCGCTCTCATCCAGGCCATGTTGGCCCGGCAACAGGCACAGAACGAGTACGATGATGGTTACTGAGCAAAAGGGGCTGTTTATATCTTTCCAGAGGAACAAACTCACATAAAAAACATCTGAAGGAAATTTTAAGACAGAAATCAAACTGTATGTTAAGATTCGGTTGCAACAGTTCAGAAATGTCCAACACATTGAGTCCTGCTACTAAACAACTAATATCAAAACTAAAACAGAGCAACGAGAGAGTGCAGGTTCACCTCTTTAAGTGTATATTTTAAATGTTATATTATAGTAATATATTTCTATGATACTACAGCTCCCTTTAATGGCGAGTTTTGGTATAAAATACAGTAAATATTAGATTTAACCCTGTGCCATATGAAATAAAACCTGTATGTAGTTAACATTATTCTGTTTTGCATGGCTGTTTGTTCAAACTTTGTACATTCAAAACTGCCCTTTTCAAAAAAAAAAAGTGAACTTACGTTGTTAAAGAAATAATTAAATAATTTATCAAAAAAATTCAGATGCTTTTAATCTCTAATCCACAGATTTCTTTGATTTGTGATGTTAAAGTGCAAGTTCCTATGTATACTGTGTTAAATGTTCATTTTAAATATCCACTCACTGATAGTATATATTTATGAAAAACATAAAAAAAATGTTTCTGCCAAACAGCCATAAATTATGTAAGAAGTCCAAATGCAAATAGGTATGAAATGAAAATAGGAGTGCAGCACAAAGATGAATTAAAAAAAAAAATCATATTGCCACACTCAGTCAGGTTGAGCACTTTCTGTGCTGTCAAACATCAGACAAGCTCTCCACAACTTTAGACAAATTAATTTAGGTAAATTACATTCATTTTTATTTAAAAACACATTTGTTCATCTTTAAATAGAATAATGACAGGGTTCTATGTTTTATATTTTATGAATCAGTAGCAGTTGTTAAACAGAAAAGCTTTAAACTTTTGAACCAACATTTGATTTGTCTACTTGCTGAACTGAAAACTGAGATATTTTTTTAGAGAAAAACTTTAGCTTTTACCATTTGTGCATGGAGGATTGAAGAAAATATTTTAACGATTTCATTTATTTATTTATTTTGTTCAATAATAAGGCTTACCCCTTTTGCTGCCCTAAGGTCAACGTGACTCATGAGTCAGTAAAACTGACGTGGATCGCTTTGACCCCATGGACAGCAGGAGAGCTAACTATCTCCATTTAATGTGCATGCTGACTTCATGGCTTTAAATGCAGCAAAATACCCAAGTTTCAAGTATTCACAGTTGTCATTCAAGTTGTTGGTCAAAATGAGCGACACACAAAGAAAAACTTTATTGAAATAAGTTATGTTAGTGAAAAACGACCAACCGCTAAAAGGCGAGCACGCGCGATTACGTTGTAGCCTCTGTGCCTGTTCATTTGTCTGTTACTAAACATTTAGCAAATCACTGGACAAACTTTAATGAAATTTACAGAAAGTAACTGGGTGTACAACTTCAACTGATCGGACTTTTTTGCGTTAACCTGATTCAAGATGGCTGCCACAGCCAACTGACTTTTAAAAAAACACCTAAATGTCTACAGCTCAGTCAGTTTTACAGATACCGAGTTGAAATTCGGTGCAGTATAGCTGATGGTCATTCCCAATGCATACTCTGAGCAAGAGCTTGTGCATGTTCTTATCAAGGTTTGAAGAAAAATGTTACAATTTTTTCATATCTGAGTATAAGATTAAATTAATCTAAAACTCCTGCATGAATGCTAAGCCTTTAATTAACGATCATTTTGAGACTACATTGGATGATATTGTTTTATTTACCACTTGCGTTCTGTGCACAAAGACAATAATCTTCATTTTATGAATCATAAACTGATACATCATTTTCCGTGAGTCTTTTATGGTTTTATATATAAAAATGGTTTCTTATCTTTGCATTGAGTTTATTTATTTATTTTTTGTTTGTTTGATAAGGCTGTTGGAAACAGAAATAATCCATTGTTATGAATAAACTCAACATTTTCTTTTATTTTTTTCAATACGATTCATTACACAGTGATACCAGTTCATCCATGAGTTCCACACAAGGTCCGCTTTTTCCCAGTTCTGAGCTGGTCTCAAGTTTGAGCTCTTGTAATTGAAGCTCCACGACCAGTTTGATTTAAGGCTGAAAGTCTGGTCTTCAATCCTGTGTTGAACGCTCAATAGTCGAAAGCATCTCTGACTTTCCAAGACGAACCGCTCAGAGGAATGCCGTCAGTGTTTTGCCTCAGTCAGCACTGGTCCTCCCCCAAAGAGGCTGCAAAGTCAGTCAGATCCAGGGAGTCAGCAGGTATGGGAGTCCTCCTGCCGCTTTTCAGGGACTGATTGGAGTAAACATTCACCGTTTCAGAGATGGAGTGCAAGGAGTGATCCCGGAAATATCCGTAAGCCTCCCGTGTGTTCTCCCCCCGGAAAGTCTGCTCGAAAGTCTTGCGTTTGTGTCTGAACTCGATGACGGTCTTTGTGTAGGAGTTGAGTGTCGTGACGGATGCCCCCATGCAGCAGGTAAAAGACGCCCATGCCAAGCTGAAAAAAACAAACAACAACAGCAAAAATAAATTAATAAAGGTGATTTATTTTAAATACTTCCATGAAAAGGGGGGAAACCATTTTTCTAACAGGTTGGGTCGGCATGCAGGATCAAAAACATCAAACCATCAAATACCAAATGTATGTTTCACACATGTAGCTTAATTCCAACAGATTCTCAGTATCAGCATACTGCATACATTATATAGGAAAAACGTTTTATCCTCTTATGCAATTCCAATCACGCTTGAATTGGAGATTTAGACACCAAAGACTAATCCTGTCATAACATGGGAGCTTTTGGCCTCTTTCATTACTGACAGCGATGCTGGAGAAAGGTAAGAAAAGAGCTACAAGATGCAGGATGGAAATCCTCATTGGGTTTGTCTAGTGCATCAGCTTTTACTCAGAAATGTCTCGTATATAATACATTTGGAATAAGATCATCCACTTTGTTATTTTCGAGTCCTCCTTACCAGAAAGACCACCCGTAGTCCCAGTTGTAGGGCCTCCAGTCAGGCGGGCCATGGCTGACGGTAACCTGGAAGACCTGAGTGTACATCACATGAGCCACCATGCCAAGAAGACCTGATGTCACACAGAAAGTACATTGTTAAGTAAACCTTCAATTACGTTCTACAGTCACAAAATATTAGCTTTATAGACATAAGATATTTGTTTAAATTCAAAAATAATATACATTTGTCAAATTTGTAAACAGATTTTTATGAAGGTCTTCTGGATGGTTTCTTTTTTTTTTTTGTTGAAATGTTTCATCCTTCATCCAAAGGACTTCATCAGAACTTTGATGAACATCAGAACTTCATCATGAACTTTGATGTTTTGAACCACTTTGGCTATGGCTGCCTCAGAGGAGTCGACGAGGGAGAGGACGGACTCCAGAAACCATCTTACCACTATAAAACTGGTTGGCCCACTATGTGCGTGAGCCACTTACGGGACTGAGTTTGTTGTGGCTCCTCAGACTGATGAAGTTCTTTGGATGAACGGCGAAACGTTTCAACAACAAAAAAAAATCATCCAGATGACCTGACAACTTTGTTGGATATTTTACCTGGATTATTGAGCATGATCTTGGTTATTTTTATGAAATTTTGCACTTTGTTTCTTCAGCTTCTCAAAATTGTTGACTCAGCTGCTTAACCCTCCAGCTGCCCTTAGGTCAAAATAAGCCACGTGGCACCAAACTATGGCCTTGTGGGTTGTTTTGACCCAAGGGCAGCAGGAGGGTGACACTGTAAATAATAAACTGCTCTTCATGTCCCTCCTGGTACAATAAAGGTTAAATAAAATAATAAAAATAAAAGTTAAAGAATTAGTCTGTTGTTTTTGAAGTGATGTTCTATTAACTAGAACTTTGTGAGCCGGAACATCAGTCCCAGAGCCCCGATTACAGAAAAAAGGGCCAAAGTTTTTGTCCATGCTAGGCTAATGACTAGCTAACCGAGGGCCACTTTTTAAAAGTTGTTTTCTGGTTAACTAACCCTTTTCTCAAAAACAACACACCAATGTGAAAGAACACGACGTTAGCTGTGTTTATATGGGGTGCTGTTTGTAAAGTTGCACAGTCAAAAATCAACATCAATATTTTGGTTTATTTAGCTTTTAATAAGAAAAAACAGTTTTTTTTTTCAAAGTCATATTTTCACCATGTTGTTCATACATTAATAAATGTCATATTTCCCAACCAAATATTAATTTACAAGATAAACATTTAGCTTACAAACTAAATATTTAATTTGCAAGTTAAATATTAAGTAAACTAAATATTTAGGTCTAAATGAAACATTTAATTTACACCTAAATATTTAATTTACTAACTAAATATTTAATTTCTAAGCTAAACATTTAATTCCTAAACTAAATATTTTATTTGCTAACTAAGTATTTAGCTTGGACCTAAATATATATTTTACAAACTAAACATTTTATTTCCAAAATGAATATTTAATTTGCTAACAAAATATTTACCTCAGACCTAAATATTTAACTTGCTAGTTAAATATTAACTTCTTAGCTAAATACTTAACTCGTAGCTAAATTTTTGACTTGCTGGATAAATATTTAACTTGCTAGATAAATATTTAGTTAGTAAACTAAACATTTAGGTGTAAATTAAATATTTAATTTATGCCAAAATATTTAGTTTACGAACTACATCATAAGGTATAAATTAAATATTTAATTTACACCTAAATATTTAGTTTACTAACTCAATATTTAACTTGCAAGTTTAGTATTTAGTTTGTAAACAAAATTTTTGATCTTGTATATTAAATATTTAGTTGGGATCTATGACATTTATAAATGTATGACTAACATGGTGAAAATATGACTTGGACATTTTTTTTAATCTTATTAAAAGCTAAATGAACCAAAATATTGATGTTAATTTTTTACGTTTAATCATTACGCTTTTGCATGACATTGTTTCTCACCTGAATAAGATTTGTGTTACTGCGCCGTATGTGCGTAACAAGAGATGTATATTTGCAGATGAAGCTAAGGCTGCAAATGTATCAGTCCGCTGAGAGTAAAGTAAACTTCTGAACGGATACATTTACAGCCTCAGTACATGTCAGCATTTATACGCTTTATATTTGTGTAGCATAATTTCCAGACTATAAGCCACTACTTTTTTCACACGCTTTGAACACAGCGGCTTATATAACGCAGCAGCTAATTATGGATTCTTAGCTTCATGCCATCAAAACATTTAGTCTCGTCACACCCAGGCGCTCACATAGCTGCTCAGGTGCGCTCAGTAGTCAGGAAATTACAGTATATTTTAAATAGCCTAGCCTGGAGGAAGACATTTGCCTCTTTCTCATACTCTATGGCTGATGTGACTGCAGATAACTATTAGATAGAACATCAATTCAAAAGTGACCAGATTATCACTTTATCCTCCAGCTGCTTTTGGGTTAAAATGACCCACGAGGGCTCATTCCCAAAACAGAGGCCTCGTGGGTCGTTTTGACCCAAGGGCTGCAGAAGGGCTAATTGTTGCCATTTTTAAGATTTAAAATATTGTTTTTGTGACTTTTGATTTTCTTCATTAACTTTACTTTAAGACAAATCGAGCTTTGCTGTATGTTGCAGTTCTCAAAACATTGTTTCAAAAAGGATTACAGCGTGTAACACGTGAATATAGTGCGATACATTTTAATTTGAGCAAAACAAACAGAGTACCTGAGAGCACCGTGAAGACGGCAGCAAAGGCATTGAGCTTGAGTCCGTCTATGACATTACTGGAGTGGACCAGCTCCACACACATGAGCCCGAAGCCCACCATCAGGAGGAAAATGTACAACATCTCCGAAACCACCGACAGCCACAGCATCCCTACAAATGACACAAAGCATCTCATCGTTATGGAAACGCTAATAAAATGATCTTCTACTTTCTAGTTCAATTTGTATCTATGTTCTTTCATTTTGATGTTTGCACACGAGTGTGCGACAAGTCCGGTCGTCATGTCCGTACGACTGAATGATTCCTCCAGAGCAGTGAACAACATCAGGACTGTCAGGATACAGAAAATGAACTTTTTTTTAATGATTTGTTTGTTTAATTCAAATTTTAAGAGTTTATTTAACGACATGATCAATGTTAAATTTATTAACTTTATTATTGGAGTTCATTTAAATTCAATTTTATAAATTTATTGGGTTTATATCAGCCATCCATCCATCCATGCACCCATGCACCAATCTATCCATCCATCCATGCACCAATCTATCTATCCATCCATCCATCCATCCATCCATCCATCCACAGATTTATCCATTCCTCTATCCATCCATCCATCCATCCATCCATCCATCCAT